TTGAAATAAATAATGAAATGATTGAAAATAAATAATTAGATGCAGCTTTTCCCATGCCAGTATGTGACTGACACCTGAAACAGACCAGCACACTACGTGCCAAAGCATAACTGGCTCTTCAGCAATAATGCCAATCGCACGTCAGTGCATTATCGGCAGCGAATGTGTTAACTAAAAAATTCCCGGAAAGCCCGTGTTTTTTCCTACAAGTCATTAAAATTGGAACTATTTAATATTAAAACATTTATTAAAATTTTCAAAAATAAAATATTAAAAAATTTAATATTAAAAAAATACTACAAAACTCATTTTTACGCAGAAAAAATGTATTCTCAGATGAAATCCTTTCAATTATGCAAAAGGATATTTTTTAGCATTTGAAGGGTTCATTTGAACTGAACAATTGAAACTAACGGATCCACAGTTGATTGATATCAACCATTGTGTTTCCTAAATCATTCACTTCTTCCTAAAAGCATCTCTGCCAATTACTAAAGGGTGATGAGCGGGTGATGAATTCTCAAGATGAATGTTACCCAAACATTTTGTGGGTAACCAGAAAAGATGTACTTCAAAACCTTTTGCAGCACACCAAAAAATGCCACCTAATCCATATCATAGTCGTGGGAAAATCAGTCACCCTGCTTTTCACTTTCAAAAGCTAAGTTTCAAATGCACGTGCAGCAGGAAGTGAAGCAGAAGGCTTCGTCCAAGAGCAGTGGAACCTGTTCTGTAGCTACTTTTGCCTGTCTGTCAACAAGAAATTGCAGATTTTCAGATAACATAGCAAATATCGGAGAAATTTGAAATCAGTGCTGGTACAACAGAATATGGGTACAGCAAAATTTTAGAATTTAGTGAAGCATCAAGGAATAAATTTTTTAGAATTTAGGATGAAGGCAACAGAATTTATTGCCTATGGCAGCAAAGTTTAACACTGTACCTAATTCATGATACAGTATTCATTACCAATCAGTAAGCCATTAACTTGAAATGTTATCTGATTATATAATTAGTAAAATGTGGTAAAAATTTGAAAAGCAATCAGAAGCAGTCTCTCTGTGGTCTTTACCTCACAATTCATTTTGAATTTTTTCAAACTTGATATTTACGTATCTCTTTCTACAAATATATATCCTCCTACATATAAAACATGAAAAATAGTTAAAATCAAAAGTAATAAATTTTCTCTAGTTGTGATGAAAGATACATCTGAATGTAAAGATGAGAAACGCATAAGTAAATTGCTCTTAATTATATTTACTGATCATAACAGCAATCAATTTATGTATATTTTATCTCTGAATATATATGTCACATAAGCATATATACCATCTTCAAAACTTTGATTTTCTCAAATTTCATACAGATACTAGGTTTTTGTTAGTCACATAACTTGGTATCCTAAATTCCAGAAGACAAATAAAATAAAACTAGGTCTGAATTGGCTAACTCAGGAAGTGAAATTTTCTCCTTCCTGTCAATATAGCATATTTATAACTCCCAATGATGGCGACCACTAATTAAAAATGTTATGGATTATAAACTTGATGGGGATTGGCACTCTGTTTGTTCCATAATATTTTCTTTATTTGCATTATCTGCGCACATGTTTGTTTGGTTGTAGAAGAAATTTGAAAAGCTTTTTTTACTTAGATTATTCAAATGTATCCACCACACATTTATTTGTTGATTAGTAACTATCATTTATCATCTGGAATACGGTGCTAGAGCCATTGCAGCCTCACCCAATGCCAATTTTTTTAGAATTTAGGAAAGTTTGGTATGTTTGATTACACCAAAGCAGGTGAATTTGGAAAACCAAGGAAATCGCTCATGAAGCCAACTCGTTTACTGGGGCTTGGAACCCAAGTCGAACTTTCAGTGTTCAGCGACTTCATCGCTCGGCTGCTAGAATTTAGGGAGGAACTGAGTGTAAGATTTAGGTTAGATTATCTGAAAATGGCAAAGCCATAAGTGCTACCTGCTTTCATGGAGGAAGTTTCTGAAGGTTTAATTTAGTTTATTATGGCAAAGCACACTAGAAATATTTGCCTAAGGGAAGGGATGCCTTTGTGGAGGACCTTCTAAGGAAAACTGGCTCAAGGAAAACTGGCTCATATATATGGGGAAAACCACAAAAACACCCATGCTTCCAGCCTGTTCGCAAGGATATGAACCCACGTCGGAACTACCAGTGTTCAGCGATTTAACCATTCAGCTGATAGTGGGCCTAGTTTCTGAAGGAAAGTGGCTTATATTCATGTTACACATGGGGGAAACTAACTATGCAGCCAGCTCGTTTGCCCGGGATCAAAGCCAAAGCAGTGCAAACTTCCAATACTTAATTTTCTGTAGTCTTATTCACTCGGCCACTGGTGGAGCGTGGCAGAAGTAGGAGCCACAGATATTGTAGTGAGTAGCAAAAGGGCCTACTAATGGCCCTGGTTACCAGCAAGATAATAATTACATTTATAACCATCCAATCTAGAGCAATGAAATTTCGTATCATAACTGTGAAGTCAAATGTTATTCCAACAAATGTGATATATGTACAGATGGAAAAATTTAAAAAAAAAAAAAAACTTATTATTAAAATACATGTCTTTATTATTAAACATATTATAAAACATATTTTTAATTTAGTGTTTATGAATTCTAAAAGAATTATCTCATCACAGTACAGAAAACTTTAAAAGTAACGTTATAAAATTTTGCCTAGTTTTGAATATGAAATCATTAAACACTACATCATAGTAGTGCCGAATGATCAAGATTTTATGAGAATACAGCAAAGCATCTTTTTAGAAATGTTATCACAATTTTGTTATTTTGGTCTTTAATGAAGGACGAGGAAAAAGGCAGGGTGCTAAATGCATCAAGGCATCTCATTCTGTTCCATATACAGAGGCAATCCTCTCTGAGACGACAATTCAAGGTTCCAGATAGTTTTAGTCTTAGGCCATCTTAGATTTTACAGATGTTTATTTATGTTCTCAAGAATACTCGTTATTTTCAAAAGTGGTCATTTTAGAAATGTATGTATTTATTTATACATTTTGCATAGATATATTCTGATTAATCAATCTATTTTCAATTTTTGAGCATTAGTAAATTATATAATTGTAAGCTTCAATTTCCAATGCTCTGTTTCACATTTGTTCTGCTACAATGAAACAGATTTATACACAACAAATCTAAATGTATCACTACAGGAAGAAAATAAAAAAATCTCAGTATGTAACCGGTGCTACATCCGGAAAAGACAATATACATATATATAATTTTACTTTATTCAAACATTAAATTTTGTAATTTATGAATTTCTTCCTCCTTCACATGTACTGGATTTATGTGTGCATTTTCTCCACTTTAAATTATCAGTTGTACTTTATAAACCTGATACATAGAAATGCAATTTAATTCTATGCAGTTCAGTATCAAGTGAAATCTTGAAACTAGTCGTTCATTCCAACATTTACATGTAATGCAATTTTCATTGAAAATGGAACTCTGATAATGTGCAATAAATTATTTTCATACTATGTTTTTTATGCAAATAGTATACATCCTGGTAATGTTTTTATAATAAAATGCATATTAGTAATTAATTTACAGCCTGATATTGCTGCCAAAGATATTCCATGAAGAATAGTATTTATTACATTTGTATATTATGGATACATTAGACTATTTGTCTGTGTACTAGCCAGATTTAGTAATGATATATCTACTTTTGAATGAAAAAATATAGACGGGAGTGTTATACGATTTTTATAACACAAACAATATATGTAAAGCTCTCTATTTTATATTCATGTATATTTATAATATTATGTGTATGCTGTTTTGCTTCAATATCTGTGCACTGAATAAGTAAAACAGGAAATAAAAGCTAATGTGCACATACCTAATTTTTGTGAGGTACATGCATATATGGGCTTTAAGAAAGTTTCTAACTAGAAAAGCAAAGCAGAATATTTTCTAGTCTATTGTTTGAAAAGATGGTGATGTCAGCTCAGTGCAAGTTTTATAGGTTAAGACCAGGATTTCTCAAGCTTTTTTCAGTCCGTGGCCCCTTTTTATCACCGAGATTTTTTCGCAACCTCAGGACCCCCATAATATTTATGAAAATTTTGTGGGACTCCATAACTAATGCAGTCTTAGGTCATTAACTTTAATTTCTAATTTTAAGACACAGAACAATGTGAAAATTTTAAGTATGTAACAGATGAAATGACAGCATTATGTGCAAAGCAAGCAAAATGAATGTTTATATTATAAAACGAATTAGTCTAAATGTTTTTGTTTTTTCTTTGTTTGTACTGTTTTATCTTTATTTATTTTCAGATACACTGTGAAAAATATTAGGTAATTATACAATTATATTATAATAAATTAAAGTAATATTAAAACTGCTAAAATTTTTGGTTACTCCTGCTGCAGGTCCCGTGACCCACATGGGGGTGATGACCCACAGTTTAAGAAACTCTGGTTTAGACCAAACTTATTTCTAACTTTTCATATATTATGTTTATCTTTAATTTACCCCTAGAAATATAGGGAGAGAAATTCTATTTTCCCTTTAATTATTTCCACACTATGTCATATACAATTACTCTAGTTAACTGCATTATTATCCTGTATTCCTTCAGAGCAATATGCAAATATTAGTTTCAAAGTCTCTCTTAGAACACCAGATACTTGCTAATTTGGTACAGATGAACATAATCAGACACTTCTCTATCTAACCACCAAGAATTATTTTCCAAGATGTATAATGTGATATATCAGCATGCAACTAGCAACAAAGGGCAAATGCAACATAATATTATCAAGCAACATGCAAGAATCAAATTCATATACACTGGTGTGGCTTAAAAGCCAACTAGTTCTACCATCAATTCGGAAAAGTTTGATGCTGATTGTAACATATTTTGTGAATGATAAAGAAAATAAACATTTTATCAGTTTTAGCATTTGAACTGAAAACATCTTACCTAGGTAAAGATGGCATGATAGACAAATGGTATTCTAGGAAGCTTGTGCAAAGGGCTTTGATGAGAAGCTTTCACAAAAACTTTATTATGAATGCTACCTTGTGTGCTACATTTCTGAAAAAGAAAGAAGAAGCTATTAAAAATAGTAAACAGAATTAAGAATCCACTATCAGATAATTAATCATTCATTGCATTCTTTTTCTGCATTCCTTTAAAGCAATTTGCATGCTGAAAATTACTTCACAGCATAATGATTTGACATTCAATGTCACAAAAAACAATAGTAGCCAGTGATTTTATTACCTCAGACATAATACTTCAACTACAGAATTTTTTTTAACAAATGCTTTAGCACAATTTTATTACAATTCTACTATGAATGCAGTATTTACAGACTACATAAGCACAAACATAGTAATAAGAAAATCATTATTATACTAATCATTTACAGTTTTTAATAAACGTCCTAGAATATAGATCCCAGGAAGATCATTTAATACCTATCATGCAAGAAATTCTATGCTATGTAATTCCTAATTTTCAACTCAAATACAAAAACATTATACACAGCCTACATTCTTGTTAACTCAGAAAAAATTACGTTCTTATACTTATTTTCTTGTTAGCTTAAAAATTAAATAACAGTACTGATATTTTTAGCCTATATTTTCACTACAGAATCTCTAGGAGCCATATTTTTTAGGTTTTCCATGATCTATTTATTATGGTATGCCAACAAAATTAATGAAAGAGTAATTAGTTATGGTAAGGGGTTTTTTCCCCTCTTTTTAAATAATCCAAAATATAAATGCAAATTAAACACTAAAGATTAAATTCAGATGTTTAAAACTATATTAGCATAGCATACTCTTTTACCAAACCTTCATGGATTATTTATTCATTAAGCGTGTGAATTTAATTTTAAACATTTAATTTCACATTAGTTTCCCACATTACTCAAATATTTTCAAAAAGTATAAAAACAAATTTCTGAATTATGTGTACATCACAAATAAGTCAAGGAAAGGAGAAGTTTTTACACATTTTAAAAGGAACATAAAACCAATGATTAGAGTTTTATTGTATCCTGATTTCAGCATGATAAATGTGCTTGAATGGTGTGTATGTAATGTGAAAATGCGATTTGTGAAAATCACAGTAAAAATATGTATACACATTTTCACTGTGGTTATCTTGTTTGCTGCATGAAAGTTAAATTAGATAAATTTAAAGTACTAACAACAAGAGTTAACAGATTTTAGTTTATTAAATTTTATTTAAATAATGCAAATAGCACAAAATCAAATGCAGGTTTTTATAGGTTTTTTTAACATGCTTTTCTCCAAACCTTTCATTAATAAAAAAAACACAGACTGAGTAAATATTGCTTTTTTTATTTTTTTATTTTTATTTATTTATTTTTTAAGGATGTCTCAGAAATGAAGAATACTGACTTAAAAGAAAGTTAGTCCTTTCCCTCTCCTTTCTGTTCTAAACAACTCATTTTTCCATGCTACAAATTATAAACGAAAGCCAAGAGAAGATGAAACCAATACTTAGTTTTCCTAGCTATTTATTTTGATGATAACAATGAATTATTTTGATATATGGTCTGTCGAGGAACACTAATAAAAGCAAAGGAAGTAATACTACTCCAGTAATAAGACTGGTGACTTCCATTTGCAGTTCAAAGTGTAGAGATAAGTAAACTCAAAAATAATTTCTTTAAAAAAATGAAGAAAAAACATTTATTTTACAAGTAAAGGAAAAGCTTCCACAAAGATTAGTGGAAAGGACTCCTTAAGCAGGAAAATCTTTCAAGAGCCGATTATAATTTTTGAAGAAGTAAACATGAAAAATCAACTATGCTCTTCAGTGCGATTTGAGTAACAGACCTTATAAATGCTGAAAGGATATGCTAGCCACATAATATGAAAGAACATACACACAAGCAAATGTAATGATTACTTAACATTCTCCTTCCCAATGATGGGCGACTGAGAAGAGGTACAAGACCCATCAAATTATATCCAGGTGACCATAAGTTACTGCCTACATTTTATACAAGGTGGCACTGTGCAAGATTTTTGAAGCAAGAAACTTAAAATAATCAATAATGCCCTCGTCAGAATTTAAACCATGGACCTTCCAGTTGCTGCCTGAATGTACTTTACAGTGAAAGCATGCACAGGGCAACATTTCCTCATTACATTCCTGTGTGAAATGAGACATTGTATTAAAATTTATATAACTCACCAGAAACCAGGTAACTCCTAGGTTAGTTTAAAAAACAGGTTTTTTTTTTTTTTTTTTTGCTGTAATAATGAAACAAGCAATGCATTTCTTTCATCTGATCTATATTTGCTAATAATACAAGCATATCATTTATTGCCAGTCACATGAACTGAAAAAGATGCAACGTAACATTAAGAAGTTGAAGATACATATTAGAAGCTGAATGATTAAACTAAATCTGAGTTCATTAATATAATTTTATACATAAGTATATAATGTTAAAGTTTACAACTGGGTGCCCACTCTTTTTTTTTTTTTTTTTTTTTAGATTCTTTTTTGACGCCAAGATCGGCACCAGGAAGGTACAATTTCAGGATGGCCGCTAAACAAAACCAAAATAAGAAGTCAAAGAATTGTCCAAACCTAGGCATTGTGCACTGCCTTTACTTTGTCCATGTACATATCAATCTATTTTCACTTAAAAAAATCAGGAAGCTAAAACAAATTAAAACTATCATAGTAACCAGAAATAAGGTTTCATCACCAAAACTGAACGAATTTTTGTCAAGAATCGAAGGGGCACCCAATTTTACACTAGAGCCGTGTCTAAATTAAAAAGGATTTTGTGGAATACTTTTGAACTTTATGTACTAAAGAATAAGCATGTATATTATCAATGAAGCACTTCTGTAAAAGATACAGCAACTCGCAGCTGAAGGACAAAATCAAAGGGTCAGCCAATTCTACACTAAAGCCGTGTATAAATTAAAAAGGATTTTGTGAAAGAATGCTTTGAACTTTATGTACTAAAGTTTATGTTATCAATGAAACCCTTCTGTAAAAGATAGAGCATCTCCCAGATGAAGGGAAAAGAATAAATAAAAAAAGAAATAAAACATACTTTCCAATTTTTACATATATATATTTGATAAGATAAATAAGGCAATTTAGATAAGACAGATTCTGAAGAAGGCATATATTTATAAAGATTATCCACAATTAACATAATCATTACAATATAAAGGTTTGCTGCATTTTTTTAAACTTTACAAACATTAAATTTCATGAACAAAACATTACTCAAATATTTTCAAAAAGTATAAAAACAAATTTCTGAATTATGTGTACATCACAAATAAGTCAAGGAAAGGAGAAGTTTTTACACATTTTAAAAGGAACATAAAACCAATGATTAGAGTTTTATTGTATCCTGATTTCAGCATGATAAATGTGCTTGAATGGTGTGTATGTAATGTGAAAATGCGATTTTGTGAAAATCACAGTAAAAATATGTATACACATTTTCACTGTGGTTATCTTGTTTGCTGCATGAAAGTTAAATTAGATAAATTTAAAGTACTAACAACAAGAGTTAACAGATTTTAGTTTATTAAATTTTATTTAAATAATGCAAATAGCACAAAATCAAATGCAGGTTTTTATAGGTTTTTTTTAACATGCTTTTCTCCAAACCTTTCATTAATAAAAAAAACACAGACTGAGTAAATATTGCTTTTTTTATTTTTTTATTTTTATTTATTTATTTTTTAAGGATGTCTCAGAAATGAAGAATACTGACTTAAAAGAAAAGTTAGTCCTTTCCCTCTCTTTTCTGTTCTAAACAACTCATCTAATCTTTTGTCAAGTTAATTAATTTCTTCACTATAAGATGAAGTTCTCATACACAAACAACATCAATAGGTAAAAGAAACATTTTAATGCTAGAACACCTGAAGATTCTTGAAATCTGTCGAATAGCAAACTGACACAAAATAAAAGTTAATAAAAAGCACATTTGGTTAGAGTAGAGAGAAGGGTACCCCTTGTATTATCGCGTTGTTGTTTCATTTATGGTAGCCTGAATAGTTGAATGCTATGGAAACCCTATTATGACGCAATCGGTTGCACAATTGCGGTGAATTCGTAAGGGCTTGTCTGTGTGTTGGTTAGGAAGCATATTGCTTGTTTTGTGGTTTAGACATAAAATGGCTATGAAGTAGCCATTATTGTGTCCTGTTTGTAGAGAAGAAATGTGTATGGTTGAACGTTGGAGCAGCGCTACGGAGGATATTTTCTACTCTTATTTTGATGCAAGTACACAGATTCTAGTTCAGATAATTTTACAAAGTTTTTAGATGCTGTTAAGGAATTTTGTTTGACTGAGGACGTATTAATTTGTAAATAAGGTAAGTGGTTATTTCCTTTGTGTAGTGCAAAGATGAATTTCCTTTTTTATGTTATTTCATTGTTTGATTTTAAATATAGTTTATTGAGGTTATATACTTTTTTGTAGTCTGCTCCTTTGACTTTTTGACACGGAAAAAGTCAATGGAGTGTGCAATGCCTGGTTTGTGCAATTCTCTGATGCTTTTATAAGTGATATTAGGTCGATGTGTACATGGATACCGAGTTTGTGCAATTCTTTGTCTTGTTATTTTGGCTTTGCGTAGCGGCGATTTTTGTATACAAGCTAAGATAACAAGTCAAAGAAATGTTCTGCCAAAAATCGCCAATTTCTGCAAAGGGGTACCCGTAAATATACTTTTACCGCACATTTAACTATATATTACTTTTTCCATATTCTTCTCATTCAATCATTTATAGTACACTAAAATAGGTATCATCATCAAATTTTATTCAAATCCACAAATTTAACTTCAAATCTGATGAAAATAAATAACCAATGCACAACTATTTACAAGCAAAACTTAAAATCTTTTTTATTTGTATGCACCTTTATATTTATTGCTGTTATTAAAACAAAATTTTACTACAGACTATGCTGTGTACATATGACATAAATCACGCAGTTACCAATTAAATATTTCTTGTACCTAGGGGCAAAATAAATTACACCTTATAGTCAGCAAGTAAAAGGT